GTGTGTGTGTGTGTGTGAGAGAGAGAGAGAGAGAATGCTAAGAATGTGTGTGTGTGTGTGTGCTATTTTTGTGCAAAACCTGAATAATATTTTTTTTCTGACCTTCTTGTTTTTCTGTCCCTTTATGATGGCTATGAATTTTTTGTATGGAAGTAAGGGGGTAAATGGAGAAATACATCAAGCCGAGGGGGTTAATGATGGAGGGTACAAATTGAGAATCCCCGTAATTTAGTGGATAAGTCCTAGAATGGTATGACGTACATGCATACAAAAATTATTACTTTTCAGCACAAAAACAAACGGTTTTGTTATTTTATTTTTTAAATTCTCTCATTGTTATTCTTCACAGTGACTACTGTACGTGAACTGAATCTTTATTTTTATTTCTTTATATTTTATCGTACTAACCTGCTAATCACATGCTCTGTATAGATATTCAAATTGCTTTGATTATCAAACAATAATTACTAAATTTGCACCAATCAAAGCAAAACACTCTCGGTCGTGTTGTCGTATTACATCATATTATTACCCCAAAGATGGATCAGCTAAACTATCGTACGAATTAATGGTCGTGTTGTCGTATTACATCATATTATTACCCCAAAGATGGATCAGCTAAACTATCGTACGAATTAATAACTTATATTTCTTACTTTACATACTCATCATGATCAAGACAGCTTCTGAATGTTTAGTAAAGTTTAGTGACAAATGACATGTCGAACGTCTTTGTGAACGAGTAACGTCAATAGTAAAAGTGTGTGTGCCCAATTTTTCATTGGTTAAAATTTTATTTAATATTTAACACTAATTCTGTTACATACCCACTTCTTGTAGCAGGTCTACCAGCATATCTTTCCTTGTGTTAAAACGCTTAACGCTCTCTTCCACTCGTTTCATGTTTTATTCTCAGGTGTATTTCTTCGTTACAGAATATGTATACTTAATGTGCTCGAAAATGCTATACACAGCTTAGACAAAAGTGGAAATCTTCATTTAATCTCAAACTGTATTTCAGTTTATAATTTAACAAATTCCTCGAATTCGACACTCATTCGACAATAAACTTCTATATTATAGTGTTCCTTCAATTAAACTAGGCGATTTAGATCTTTAAACAAATTTCATCTTTAACTTTGAAGAATTAAATATGACCTTTTTTTTTTTTTTACTGTAACACTGAGTTATTGAAGCCTAAGGTATTCGACTTCGGATTAATGTAGTAAGCAGTGAACAGTCCATTATAAATACGTGGTTAAAGAAAGTGGTTATTAAAGTGAAGAAAACATTAAGTTAAAACGTTTGGTCTTATGAAATCACTATCAAACATAGCGGTAGTTTTATAGCCGAAATAAAAAAAGGAAAATAAAAAACAAACCACTATAGACTTTCCTGTTTACATAATTTACTCATTATGCACTAAATTTGCATGTTTATTATTCTTTTCTAGAATTAAAAATGGCAAATGTTTTGTTTTAGCCCAAACATCGTGCACCTCTAGACCAGGTATGCAAAAATTCTAAAGCCAAAACAATTTCAGTACTTCCAATCTGAGTCCAGTAGCCCCCCCCCCCAGTGGCACAGCGGTATGTCTGCGGACTTACAACGCTAGAATCCGGGTTTCGATACCCGTGGTGGGCAGATCACAGATAGCCCATTGTATAGCTTTGTGCTTGATTACAAATCTGGAGAGAAAGATCTTCAATAATCTTTTATCCCAGCCCTTTCCCTTCCTGTTACTTTCTCATGCGCCCCCCCCCCACTGGCTCAGCGGCAAGTATGAAGGCCTATGACGCTGAAAACCGGTTTTCATTGCCCATGGTGGGCACAGCATAGTTAGCCCATTGTGTACCTTTGTGCTCAACAACAAAGAAACAATTTTTTTTTTCGTGTAATGGCAAGGCCATGTTTTTCACGTGATTAAAATTAACGAGATTTATTAGGTGTTCCATTGACAAATAAAAACAATAATAGTTCTGGTAGTTTTCAACTTTGATTTTTCTAGCAGACTTCCTAGGACTAGCGATAGCCATATATTAATTGTTATCATAAACATCACGTTTGCTTTTTTGTACTTACATAAAATATTTTTTCGCGACCAAAACCTGTACATACTGCAGATGAAAGGAAGGTGAAACCTAACTACTCTTCTGGCCTTATGAAAGAAATAATTAATGGCACCATGTATGGGAATCTTTCAAATATACACAAATTGAAAGTAGTTATGATTTTTTATGGCTTGAAGTATGGTATTTTTTTCAATCAAGTCTTGAAGATGGCAAAGATGAACGTTTATCAGGAAGAACCATGTTTGGAGGTTCACGGTATAAATTTTTCCCCGTCGATTTGTCAGAAATTTTTTGACTTTTTCATTCCTTATCATACTAACTTTATTAATGATTGCTCAGTTATGTGTTATCTATAACTGATTATCTGGATAAATAGCTTATGAAGGGAAATTGTTAGGACATTCAATTCAACACGTGAAAATATTTATCTTTTGAGGAGTGTAAAGTTTTTGTTTTTTTGTTTTTGGAATTTCGCGCAAAGCTACACGAGGGCTATCTGCGCTAGCCGTCCCTAATTTAGCAGTGTAAGACTAGAGGGAAGGCATCTAGTCATCACCAACCACCGCCAACTCTTGGGCTACTCTTTTACTAACGAATAGTGGGATTGACCGTCACATTATAACGCCCCCACGGCTGAAAGGGCGAGCATGTTTGGTGGGATGCGGATTCGAACCCGCGACCCTCAGATTGTGAGTCGAGCGCCTTATCCACCTGGCCATGCCGGGCGAAGTGTAAAGAGAGCCTTCAAAGGACCACTGTATAGTTCGCTATAATTTCTGTCATGGTAAAACATTCTAGTATGTTTTATATACTTAACATTGCTTAGATTTAAGTTATTGTTGTATAATATATTATTTTACTTGCGGGTGTTATGGGTGATTTTTCATTTTTGTCGTTCCCATATTCACGTATTACAATTATTGATTGTCCTGTTTTTACTTTCTGCTCCGCATTATATATATATATATACTTTTACTTAATAATATTATTAGTCACTGATATATTCCTGAGTTGTATTTTGCACACCACAGTGAATCTATACCTATGTAGGATTTGACGAATATACCTAGTCTTCTTCTTTCGATTTGCCCCCCTCCAGGGTTAATGATAACGGTTAGAGTTCTCTGAAACCGGTGTAACTTAGTGATAAATGATAAATTGGGTTTCATATTTATTGTTATTTACTGCAATTTTTTTCTCTTGTTTATAGTACGTGCAAATATTGTTTATTTTAACATTCTTATATCGCCCTTTTTCATCTGTGAAATACATTAATTGCGTTTTTGTTAAAACTGTTGGACCGGGCGTGACCCGATGTTTGGGCTGTGAATTCGAGGATTCAAGATTTTCGTTCCTTTGCTGCAAGAAACGCACACTTTTGGGCCGTGGGTGCGCTATAAGAGTGAAGGCTAAACATTACTGTTCGATCAGACAGGAGTTGGCGAGTGGATGCTGTTGTCTTGCTGCTTTCCCTCTAGTCTGTCATTTCAAATTTAATGTACAGACAGCCTTCTTGTAGCTTTGCGCTAAAATTCAGAAACAAACTAGTTAGAACTGTCGGTGTGTAACATATTTTATAAGCTATTTTTTATTCTTGACTTTGTTTCACAGCAACCGTTTATAAATACGTGTAATAATGATCCAGTTATTATTTTTATGTTCCACATGTTTCATAAGGTAGTTTTTAATTCTTGACGTTTTTTCACAGTAACTATATATAAATACGCGTAATGCTCCAGTTATTATTATTTTTTGTTCCACATTCAGAAAAGATACAGCAATATTGTATTGTTAATTATATTAGGTTGGTGTTCACCTTCATCTTTTAATATACAGCAGTGTTTGTTTGTTAATATCTGTTGATGATCTTTGTTCTACAGCTGCACTACGAGCTGCAGCGTTACAAGGAGTTGATAGACCACCCAGCTCTGGAATGCCGGTTGGACAGACCACGCCTGGCTTGGAACTGGGATCATCAGAAAGTCAATTCCCGCTGCATATGTACATGACACAAACTGCCAAAACATTATCTAGTGACTCTAAAAGTTCAAAGAAAGAAGCCACAGAGGCAAGCACTAGCGACGACGACAAGAAAGGCGAGATGGTTATTACTTGTCAGAGTAAGAGTCGTTTGGATCTTTGTGATCCATTGGCAAGTGCACAGACATATCGCTTTAAACTTATTAACTCATTCAGACATATCGCTTTAAACTTATTAACTCATTCAGACATATCGCTTTAAACTTATTAACTCATTCAGACATATATCTTTAAACTTATTAACTCACTCAGACATATACTTTAAACTTATTAACTCAGTCAGACATATAGCTTTAAACTTATTAACTCAGTCAGACATATTACTTTAAACTTATTAACTCAGTCAGACATATTACTTTAAACTTATTAACTCAGTCAGACATATAGCTTTAAACTTATTAACTCATTCAGACATATTACTTTAAACGTATTAACTCAGTCAGACATATTACTTTAAACTTATTAAACTCAGTCAGACACATTAACAGCATTATAACAAGTCCAATACTACTTGCTTTGTTTAAAAATTGAAAAGAAATGTGTAATTTTAGCTGGAATGGATGTTAGACAATGTATTATTCACCAACTACATAGATAACTTAATACTGTGAACACATAAATCAATTATCTATCGAATTGCTTACAATAGGATCACATTCATATTTAGAAAATAACCTTTTCGATTTTTGGTTTAAAAATGCCTACAATTTTTGAAAGGTGTGATATTATTTTTATTAAAATTAATTTATCCATTCTTTGTTACTGATCATATATCTTGTTTCTGTCAGTAGATAAAGACGTAACACGAGAATCGGTGACATATAAAAGATATTTAATTCGAAACCCAAAATGATTCAAAGTTGAAAATAAAACCTGATAAGTTCTTTTTTTTTTAAATAAAAAATTGTTTATTTCCTTTGCAGCTGATTTCAGAAAACTATAAATTTTTGAAAATAATATATTTCGTTGAACATTACATGATTAAATACACACATATATTGTTTACTCTTACATTCGAGAATTTTCTACAATTATCATATCAACTATAGCAAATCAATAATATATACTGTCATTTGGTGCATCGCGTTCGTTATATTTATAGGCGTGAGGAGAGTTTCTCAAAATTTCAGCTGATGCAACAATATAGACGATACACACATATATTGTTTACTCTTACATTCGAGAATTTTCTACAATTATCATATCAACTATAGCAAATCAATATTATATACTGTCATTTGGTGCATCGCGTTCGTTATATTTATAGGCGTGAGGAGAGTTTCTCGAAATTTCAGCTGATGCAACAATATAGACGATACAC